GTTGGCAACGGGAATGGGGAGCTAGAGGGAGAGCACACTCTCGCGCGGGAGACCAGGGTTCGCGATAGCCGACGCGAACAGGTGGTACACGCTCGACAAGTCACGCCGCGCGCGGAACACGCGAATCTCGCGAGCTCTTTTCGCGACACCGACGTAGAATACAATACGCACACGTCGTCGCGACGGCTTGACGTCGACTGAGGTGGCGCGGATACGGCGCCTCGCGCCTGTCCGTCCCTGCTTTGCCGCCGCCGCCGCCGCCGCCGCCGCCACCACCACCACCACCACCACCACCACCACCATCACCACCACCGCCACCACCACCGCCGCCGTGATGCTGCCCCACCAGAACACAGAGGCGCCACCGACGCCTACACCCTCACCGGGTTGTCGTTCCGCTCCCCTGACATCTCTCCGTCAGACTGGCGAACGCTCCGATCCCGCGTCATTCGGTGTCGTTGCGACCACGAGGGTGGACGTCGACGACGCGATGAAACTCGGCGATACTCCGTTAATAAATTACCATTAATGATGGATGATAATAATGATTGATGGAAGGAAGTAATCGTTTAAATTTACGACACTGTATATCTTATTTCATCCTAATGTCAATTGCTAAACGTAGATGAAGCTATGCAATACATATATATACTATGTAGATATTTTCTTCAATAGTTTAATCAATTTTAATATATGATGCAGTTTTTTTTAAGATAATTTATATATATTTCTTGTTTGGAGAGATTTTTTTCAGAGTTATTCTTATTTAGGTACTCTAAAAAATAAGTTGAATAAATCAATATAGTTAAACTAGATATTTTATATGATGCATGATTTTTTGATGATTTCTCTGAGAATATTTTAGCAAGAGATGCGATAATATCTCAATGCTAAATACATAAAAGTAATGACAGACTGGCTGTTTAGATTCGTTGTATGTATGTGTGTGTGGAGCATTAGTGCCTTTTTTTATCCGCAGTTTTTCTATTAATCATATTTGTTATTAAAATATTGCAGGAATTATATATATAATGCAATATTAAAAAATTTAACGGTATTTTATATATAATAGCAACAATTTATTATATTTTAATTAAAATCTATATTATTTATATTTATTTAAAATTTATTTTATAATGAGGAGAGTATTTTGCAAAATATATGAGATTAGTAATCAGTGCTCGTTTTTGGGGCATATCTATATTACATCGTTGGCTTTTCTCCAACGAAACCCTCCTAATGGGTACACCTTGACGTTGGTAGGAGGGCTCAGTACCCGAAAGGTTTATCCTGAAGGGGAAGCTAAGTACCCAAACGGGTTTTAACGGTTTTTTAAGGCTCATAAGCCCAATTTTATCGATATCTTCTTTCGCACCTATAATTGCCGATGCTCGCACTTTCAATGTCGATGAAGCGAGATATCTTATTGAGATGCTGCTGATTCAAAGTGTGAGCCTCGCGTGAAATGGAATATTGATTTACGATCGCAAATTTAAATTCAGCAAAGTGTCACGCGTCTGAATTTGAGAGTGTCATGCAAAGCGTCGCGCGTTTGCTACTATGGTGTTGCCTAATCAACAGTAATGAATCGTAATGAATTATATTTTCGTGCAATTAATCCTGACAACCTGAGAGGAGAAGAAGGCCTAGTAAGCATCGGGTGACAGCGAAGCAACCTTGGGATAAATAATGTATTATTTGTATATTATTTTTTATTAATAGCGCATCTATTTCCGCATGTTTTATTTTGTTCATTTATTTAAGATGATATAAAAAATTATAATTAAAGAAAAAATCTTTTTTATATAGTATGCTATAAGAACTTGTAGAGAAAAGAATAATTATTTCAGAAATTATATAATTATTCTATAAAATTTGATTAAAAATTTGCTTATTATTATAAGCATTAAATTTTATATTTAATGTGTACAATAATAATCTTTTCAAATTTTAATTATTCTGGACGCTGCTATTATTTGAATTCTATATTTATATTTTGAAGATACGTAGTTTCAATGTAGTTAATTCCACTGTTGTACATCGACCGATGAGTGACAAACTTTTATGTCCTTTTGCGGTAACGGGTCTATACTAGAATAAAAATTGTACCATAGATCCGTTGCATTAGAATGGAAGCGGGTCACGAGAAATGAGGCAGAGTAAATGAAACCGTCGTTTAGTGTGGGAAGCGACATAGCCGTTTGCATGATGGAAACCGCATGCTCGCCGCTCAGCTCTTGCTCGACCGCTTTATCGTACGTCGTCGTTAGATAGGAAAAACGCTGACGTCACTAAACGCAGCAACACGTCGCGATGATTCCGAACAGCTAAGGAGAGTCTGACGCGTGCCCGTTTTTCCGTCAGTTCTCAACCGCGAACGGGGAGTTTGCTCGTCATCCTGCCGCGCGAATAGAACTTCTGTCGCGCAGATATATACGTTCGGTCGCTTCGCGGTTCGAGTTATGTAACGAGCGCGCGACAGCGATCGGGCAAGAAACCGTAACAAGATGCAACTGCATTTCCGACGGAGAACGTAGCTCCGCGAATGCTTTAAGAATAGCTGCGTAATAACAACCGGCGTGGGGACTGTATCGATAAAGATTGTGTAAAGAACTACAATTATGCGATACATGTTTTTTTTTGATGGCTTGCGTACGCGAGCGCGTGCATCCGTGTTTCATTATGACATTATTATGCACCCGCGAATAGCCGCCACTTGGCCATTTGTCACGACTGTCGCAAGTTCACACAGTTTAATGCATTCACGTCCCCAAGTCATTTTCCTTCTCCCGCCGCCTTCCATCACTCGGCGTCGCCTTTGCCGCAATTTTGGAACGGCAATGCCGTTAACAGGCAGCGTTTCCTTGAACGCACAAAGCAACAGCAGTCGCGTTCTGAGATTCTGAGGTTCGCGGTCGAGCTTGACTGATGCCGGGTTTGGCTGCCGAAAAGCACCGCCGACGCTGTTCAAGCAAAAGCGCGACGCGATCGATTCGTCTACGATGTTAATGGTTACGATGACAGAAATCAGTTTTAATCCGCAAAATTTTAATTGTTTGTTATAAATCTGTAATACTAAGATTAAAAATTAATTATTAATTAATAATATCAATTGTGGATGCGTATGAAACATATAATCTTTTTGTTTTCTATAACGTCTTTTTTGTTATTATTATTATTATTATCATTTTATAAATATTCAGATTAATTCACAACGCAGTTAATCCATGTGTAATCAATTCATTAAACAGTTTTTGTGTGCATAACGGGACTTGTTGTTAGTCTCGAAAATTCGTGTAAATAAATCAATGCTGCTAACTGCCATATTAGCACGTCCAGATTATTCCCAGCAACAGTTTCATCAATGACTTATTATTATCGGCGGCCAGTGAAGTTGTAGCGATAAATAACTTCTGTTCCATATCGATAATCTATTATTCGTTTAATGTTGAGTTTTCCTAGCGTGCGAAAGAGTCATTTTCTTTGAGAAGAAGAGAATATATGAGTGTTTTCAAGAGGAGCGATTCTTAAATTCATGCTTAAATTCCTGTCCAAGCTAGCGCATACGCCGATCAAGTCGTAAGAACGCGCGAGAAATGTTACTCATAATAATTAATTCGCATATGTTTGATAAACTTTGAACTAATGGCATCTCAGACATTTACTTCTGCCAATATCAGCATTCTGAATAACAAAAATTACATTTTAAGTTAATGACTGAGACATTTCAGAATCATTACGAAAGATCTTTAAAACTTTTTTTTTATTAATCGTTACATTTTCGCACATCTTACATTTAATATTAAAATTGTTTTAAAAATCTGTGCAACAATATTGTAATAAACAACATAAAAGAAAATCGTGTAGAATTGTTGAAGCTCGTATTTATGCACAAATCCAATTACAGTAATTTATTACAAAAAAACTGGCAAAATTAATAGCAATGCATTTTTGCCTTATTTTCAAGGATAATATACTACAAAATGTATATAATGACCGTGTAGCGCGCACACTTGTGTAAAGCTTGAAAAATGAGTCAAGTGCGTATTGTAAATCCACGTGGTGTAACATTTGCCGTGCACACTTGTGTGGTTAATGATGCTTTATTGATATTGGCAGCTGCGTAAAGCATTAAAATTGTTGTTTTTATCATTTATCAATGCAACATCTCAGGTTTTAAAATCTGCAGAAGAATTAGGTAAAACTGCACTTTTCACATTTGTTCACTATATTGTTTGCAAGAAATTT